CTTTACTCCGACTTCCTCTGTGCTTGGCGACATTACTTCATATCAGTGCCTGTTTGGATCGCCACCAGATTATGAAAGTCTTAGACTGATTTTCTGCTATGCTTATATACCTGCTCAGCTACGTCAGAAGCTTGCACCTAGTGCAAACAGATGTTTTTTAAAGGGGCATGCCTCGGCTCAGAAAGGCTTTCGATGTTTTGATCCTTCTTCTCGTTCTCGCCGGCCCGGCATCTGACCTTCCATGAGCACGAGTTCTTCTACTCCCCCCTTTTTCTTTTAGTAGGCGCCTATTGGATCAACATCTTCTGGATCTTCTTCACCAGTGGTTTTTCCTTCGCCTCCCGTGCATCAGGGGGAGTCAGAGTCCATACCATAAAGAATCAGGCTCGCAGCCCTCTATTGAGCAGCCAGCACTTGCACCTCGCTCTTCTAATAAGAAAGAGCAGCCTGCATCTTTCTCATCTTCTAATAACGACCAGTTGCCTACGGATTCTCCTTCATCCTCTATCGCAGCAGAGCCATCTCTATCTCTGCGCTTGAATGGTTTTCCCCCGCCCTGCAGCAAAGGAAAAGTGCTTTCTTAAAATCTGCCCGCCCCGAGGAAAAAGATGTGTCCAGGAACGCTATGTGAATAGGGTCTTTTTAAGCCCTCACTCAGCATCTAACAATTCAATCAACATACGTTTCAAAAAGCATTTTGAAGCCGTATAGCCATTTCAGCCTGACTCCCTATTCTCTCTTAAATAAAGCTATGAGAAAACTGGAGTAATGTTCCATGACTTTTCCCATTCCTGTGAGCTGTAGAGTTAGTTATCCTTTATCATCCCTGGCATTCCTCCTCTCTATGAGATGTGGGATCGACCCCGCGAGCCCTTCCTCTTTCTACATCCTTTTGAATGAGAAGGCATGCCTATCCATGTTTTATCTAGCCTTTGCTCCACTATCAACCACCGGAATGGTTATTTTGCCTGCCCCCGCTTTCCTCTCCCGCGGGAGGAGCGATAGCCACTCGACTGAAAGGAGAGGAGCAAAGTTCAAGAAGTCCGAACTCCCACTTTCTCGTCGATGACGGCTCTCTTCGATGCTAGCAACCGCCTTTGACCCTTTTCGCGCTTCTTTCAATTTCCTTACATTCTAGCTGAAGGAGAGACTGGACCTTTACTTAGAGAGGGGCAGCGCTACCACGCCCTTCCGTGCTCGTAGGTTGACTCCCCTATGCATCCCGACTAAGGTCTCACAAAGGCGCACTTCCCTTATGCATCCAGCCGCTTCACTAATGTGAATAGGTTCTTTCTCAAGTGGGTGGCTTGGTTATATACTCTTATGCGCGTTCCTTCTTCGAACCTTTTGGTATGTATTGCCCCCTAACTATAGATCAGATCCACCAGACGAGAAACTCAATTCCGCACTGCTGCTGAGTCGTCGGACTTATCCACCAAGGGATTCGTGGAATTTCTGTGGATTGCGTTGGGGGAAATCTACCAAAGCTAGGCAGATAGATAGACTCCTTTCCCGCTGCTAAGGGAGAGCAAGAAAGAAAAGCAAATTCTTGTTTTTTAATCAGCGCCCCCTTTTGGGTATGCAGATACTAAGAGTCCTCTCACTACCAACCAGCAGACATCATCTGGCTGGGTCTTGCCGGTATCAACAACGAGAAAAAACAACCAAATGGAAACAGAAACTCACTATGGCTCTTGGCCCAGACAACGTCCTAGGCGTAGGGGAGATCGGAGCAAGAGGGAACGCCTAGACGACGTTTTTCTTCCTGGGCTGCAGTAAGTAGATCGAGAGGTCGTTCTGCCCCTTGTCCCCGAAGATGGGTAATCCGTTCTCAAAAATCTTGCTCCAATCTGACCTAGCTGGCGAGCGATCCCAGTTCGCGGCAGAGAACAAGACAGCAAGCGAGCGTACCTTTGTTCGCTTCTTCTCCACCAAGCACGGAAGTTTAAGGATAACTGTAGGTCGGTGGCTACCTAAGGAAACTCCGATTCGATCCGCCCCCCGGCTGGGAGGCATTTACCTCATCCCGATCACAAGGAGAGGTTCACCATGATGGGGGGTACTTCTTTTTTTTCCTTTCCGGAAAGAATGAAATGCATAGGAGACCATCCTTTTGTTGCGGCATGCTCCTCAGATTTACGGATTCGCAGGGGGCCTCAGGCCCTACTTAGTTTCGCAAGCCTTTGTCATTGTCAGTCAACTAAGTGGGGCCTTTTGAATGGAAGATTAAGTAGTCTATCAGTGGTGCAAAGCGGCTTTGCCCCTTTTCAGTAGGGGAGCGAAAGATTAGACCTTAGAAAGTCAGCGAACAGCGGTTCTTCTATGTAGGTATGGCGTTCCCTCCTAACGTCGAGCTAAGTGACTTCGTAACCTTTGCGTAGCGTAGTAGAATGAAGGCTACGCATCGACGCTCTCTTATCTATTAGCCTAAGCGTCTTCGCTAACTCGCTCGCCTACTATACAATACATTAGTAGGGTATAGTAGGGTAGGCTAGGCTAA